ATATGCCTTCATCCACATACCCTCCCTCAGGGCATGGGGCACCCCCAGGGGCTGAGCATCTTGTGGACACCCCCCCCCACCCCACCAGGACATAAGCCCGAGTCCCCCAGGGCCCTGTGGAGACACCACCACCACCATCCACACCCCTTCCACAGAGCTCGGGGTGTTTCTGGGCACTGGACATCCTGGGTATGCCCCCATCCACATGTCCCCCCCACCAGGACATAAGCCCCCTGGGAGTCCCCCATCCACATAAGCCCCCTCAGGAATAAGGCATTTGCGGGGCACCCCCATTCAAATGCCCCCCCTCCCCAATCCATATACTCTCCCCTGGCATGGGGCATCTCCTGGGCACAGGGCATCCTGGGAGCTCCCCATCCACACAGCCCACCTTCAGGCATGAGCCCTCCCAGGGCTCATTGGGCCCCCCCAGGCATGGGACATCCTGGGGACTCCTCCATGCACTCAGCCCCCTCCCCCAGGCCACTTGGCACCCCAGGACACGGGCACTGCAGGGCACCGTCTATCTACACAGTCCCCTGTGGCGCATGGACCCCCTGCAGACCTCTCCCCCGCAGCCAGCCCCTCCCCAGGACATACGGATCCTCCATCCACTCAGCATTCCTGAGCACGGGCCCACAAAGCATGCCCCCCCCCCCGCCAAATCCACACTGCACTCTGCAAAGTCACACGCACCCCACAACTTGTGTCCTCAACATCCCCAAATCCCTCTGTCTGCTGCCCACCCCGGGCAGAGGAAGGCTCCAGAGCGGGACGCCGGGCTCCTGCCCACCAGTGACAGCGGCTGTGGGGGGACAGGAGCCCGGATGCCTGGGTTCCCTTGCCCGGGTAGGGGAGGGGGCAGCCGTGGAGGAGGCTGAGAGAGCAGCACCCAGCACCGGTCCCGCTCTTCGCCCACATGTGCCCAGGCTGGCGAGGGTCGGCGGGGGGGGTGGGCAGTGAGCAGACACCATGGAAAAGCCTGGGGAGAGCATCATCCAGATGGGGAAACTGAGGCACACACTGTGGGGAGGGGTGGACGGTGGGGAGGGGTCCAACATGTGCCACCCGTGTCCCTGCCTTGCCACCCCTGCCGAGGGTGGCAGGAACGGGTGGCGGGTGGGGGGGCGTGGCGGGCGGGCGCCCGCGGAGGGGAAGGCGGGTGGGGAGAGGAGGAGGGGGAAGCGCAGGGCTGCCAAAATCAACTCCGGGCGGTACAAACACCCAGCCAGCTGCGCGGTGTAGCTAGGGAAACACGGCACAGCTGGAGCACAACAGGGCCCTGCCTCCCCAGAATGCTCCTCCTGGGCCTCCCCACAGCCCGTTGAGCAGCTGGCGGGGCTGCAGCCCACCGCCCTGTGCCCCCGATGCCAGCCCACACGGGGTTGCCCATCCCTGGCTCGCCTGCAACCACCCCATCTCACTCCCTGCCCCGGTTTGACACGTGTCCCCGTGCAGCGGGCACCTCTCCCAGGGAGGGCAGTGGGGCGCAGGGCCTTGGCCGTGCCAGGGATCTGCCCTGTGGCAGGAGCTGGCGCTGGCACGAGGCAGTGAGGAGCAGCCGGGCTTCCCCTGGCGGGACCGCCTGCTGGCATCGCCAGGGCTGGGACACTGCCAGGGCCCCGGGGAACCCCTGGGCACAGCCGTGCCCAACGCCCTGCTGCTTGCAAGCGCTTTCTGCAAGCGGGGACCATGCCTGGCAGCATGGCACCCCCTGGCCCTGTGCCCTCCCCGCTGTCCCCAGTGGTGCCACTGACCTGTCCCCTCTCCTGTCTCCCGGCGTACCCGCTGGCCCAGGATCCAGCAGCGTGGCGGGCAGGGGAGGGCTGGGGTCTGCGTGGCTGTGCCAGCGTCGCCGCGCGGTGCCCACTGCGGCTCGGCAGCGGCCCTGGGGAACGGCGGGACGCGAGTGGGGCCGAGCAGAGAGGAGGCGGGCGATGGCTCCCGGCCACCCTGCCGGTGCCAGGAATCCGGCGCTGGCTCTGTGCACCCAGAGCTCGTCACAGTCTCCTGGCTCGGCCGTGGGAGGGGAAGTGGCGGGGGAAGCTCTCTCCCCTTTCCCGGGGAAAGGAAGGAGAGACGGGGAACCTGCCTGGCCATGGCCCTCAGCATTGGGGAAACTGAGGCATGGAGTGGCAGTGTGAGGGAGAGGGGGGCTGCCAGGCTGGGACCAGGGTGGTACGCCGGCACGGGGCTGGCAGGGCAGGAGGATGCCGGGCATCCGTGCCTGGGGAGGGGGCATCGCCACTGCACTGGGGGCATGTGGGCAAGGAGGAAACAGATGCTCCAGCCGTGCCTGGGCATCCCTCAACCACAGAGCCCTGGCTGTGCCCTGGAAATGCCAAGGGGTGCCCCCAGGCGAGGGGCAGAGGGCGGCTTGCCAGAGCCTCGGGGGTCCCTGTGCTGGTGGGGAGGGTGTGGCGCCAGCCGGGGCCAGCGCTGGGAAAGGGTCCCGGTTCCACCAGCTGCTTCCCAGCGCCCGCACATGTGTGCCGGCAGCGCCCTGCACAAAGGCGGCTCTGAGGCGCTGGGCCTGGCGCCGGCACAGCCCCAACGGGGCCGCCGGCTGTGGGCAGCTGGAGCTGCACGGGGACGGGAGCCGGCCGGCTGCGGGCAGCCCCAGTCACCCTGCCCGGCACCCGCACCCCTCCGGCACTGCTACCTAGAGCGGGCCCCAACGGGGCCGCCGGCTGTGGGCAGCTGGAGCTGCACGGGGACGGGAGCCGGCCGGCTGCGGGCAGCCCCAGTCACCCTGCCCGGCACCCGCACCCCTCCGGCACTGCTACCTAGAGCGGGCACCCGGCTCGCCCCCAGGGCGGGGGGCGGGGAGGCGGTGGCCCTGTTTGGTGGCGTTCCGGCACGTAAGGCGAGGCGCCCTCCAAAACAGCCCACAGCACCACCGGGGCTTCGTAGGCATGTGCCCTGCCCAGTGGCGAGGGTCCCGCAGGGGGTCCCGGTGGGCTGCGGTGCTGGGGCCGTGCCATGCCTGGCATGGGGGTGTCACAGCAAGCCCTCGCCAGCGCTCCTGCCCCACGCAGCTCCCTATTGTCTGGCCTCATTAGCCGCTGCCTGCTCGCGGCTTTGAACATGAGCTGGGCTCGGGGCGGCAGGAAGGAGCCTCTGCTCCCCAGGGATGGGGTCGAGGCAAAACCACATGCCCCGGCCCCGCCTTCCCACAGCCTCCCACCGCCTCCCGGGCACCCCGACACCCCCTCTTCGCCCCCCTGCCCGGCATGAGCCTCGA